GTCCCTTTAAGATGTATGTAATAACTCAATTCAATTGCACTTTTTATCTGTGTTATCTCAGACTCTTTTTTTATTTGAAAACTGGTGCTTCTCATGCGACGCCATATAAATTTTTAATCAAAATCTGGCCAGAAGTTTTTGAGTTATCCTTAATAATGCGTATTTAATTGACTTCGATTACATCGACAATGATCTCATTTTGTTTATATTGAAGTCGTTTGTACAAAATTTTAACCACTAAATTTTTACCACTTTTCGTCTGTTTATTGCTTTAATCGTTCACTGTTTAAGTTAATCTCATTTGAAAATTTATAAAAGAAAAGTTGTTAAATATATTGAGAAAATGTTAATGTTGATTTATTCGAAATGCTCTTTATAGAGTATTTTTTTTAAAGAATAGTAAAAATATTAAACACATTTGCATGTAATAAAAACATCTCAAAATGTTTACGATATCGTTATTTCGGTCGATGAAATACCTAATAAAGTAATTAATATTGCATTAAATTGAATGAAACTTTTGTGCCTTGTACGTAGTTACACAAACAAAAGCAGCAGGACTGAAAATAACACAACGAAGAGAATTTTTATAGAGAATTTTATAACTAGGTATTCTTTATTTAGTGTGGTTGGTTTATAAGCGCTGTTAGGGCGAAACTGAGAGGGTGAATAAAATAGTTCAAGTTTTGCTTTCGCAAGAACGTCCCTTTACACTTGCGCGCGCTAAAGGCCACCATACGACGAACGATTCACTACAATTCTTACTGTACTTATTCGGGTCGACACTTTCATTCGGTAATTCCGACATTTAGAGGTTTTATTTAGTTACTAAAAACAATTGAAAGGTGACACAGCTGATGAAAGCTAAATCAAAGTACTTAAATAAATAGCTACGGCAATAAAAAACGAGAGTAAAACAGGACTTAAACATTTTTATTCAATTTATATTTAGTAAAACCACACTACAACATAAAATAAAACGTATATTACAGTCTTTATTAAAAAAAGTTAGTTTAATATTAACGAAGTAGCAAATACTAGTGAAAACATCTGATTTTCATCACATAACAAAAAAGTCTATTACTTTCCTAACGTTACCAATTTACCGTTATGCATACCGTTACCGTTATACCGTTTATGCATATTATTATTTGCTAAACTAATTCAGAAGAAATACACATTTTGACTGAGGTCTCATGTTTTTTTCCTTTAAAAATATTGTATTATATATACACAGAGTGTTAGTGTTAACACCGCTATCCTTGTAACCAGCCGTTTGGTTTCACTTATAGAACATAAATTCAATGAGTTTTAAAAAATACGCTATTTTATTTTATAAAATTTAAAAAGTTTCTGTCCAACACCGTCCGTAAATTCATGGATACCCTATGCGCCCAAGTGACGTAATCGCTGTAAATATCACTGCCCGCGCTAGCTACTTACACAACATTCCAATAAAAACACAATAGGTACACATAATCTCTGATGTAACTTTTTCTTCATACTTTCATCCTGGCTTAGGACAGGCAAAAATTGAGGAATTAAGGAAAAATTGAGATTTTGTTTGAATTTTGAGATTTTACTAAAAAAAAAATGTTATTTTTCATTGAATTTACGTTCTATAAGTGAAACCAAACCACTGGTTTCAAGACAGCCTGTATATATATACGTTAAATTTTAACATTTATTGACAAATGTCATTAATAAAAATTCTCCGAGTCTGTATTAAATGACACTCAGCTCAATAAGTGTCTCATTAAGTTGATTGCCCCCGGTTATGATGCTCTTTAAGAGGATTTTTAGTAAATAAAAATATCATCGATTATTTTTTATAATTATTAATATCATCGTTATAATTACTAGCAATGAGAAAAAACAGCGCTCTGGGCATGGATCACATGAGCAGCTGCTTTTCGCTTGGTCTCTGTCTCTGTCTCTCTCTCTCTCTCTCTCAAACTCTGTCGTAACTGTCTCTGTGGCGACGATTCGTTCAATAATGCTACCGATTAACTTTTTTACAATCGTAAATCAAAATGTTTAACCTTCTTTATGAGGAGGCTTTTAATATGATTACATGTTTATATTTGTTAGGTTTCATGTTGGCCAATATATAATGTGCTATGGCCATTTTAGTCATTGTTAATTACTATTGCTACTGACTTGATTATTTGGCATAATTAAATAATTTATTTGACGTAATTTAGGTACCTTTGACAAAAGTTTAACGATTTTTTTAATATAATCATTATTATAAATGGTTTGCTTTACAGATTCAAAGTAAATAACACATTTCTTAGTTTCTTTTTCGTATTTTAGTGGATATCTACGTTAATTATGTGGAACACTCGGAATTGGAGCCATCCATGCATATCTTATAGGTATTAACGCGTAATTGGCATGGTTATTTACCACATTAATTTCACATCGATTCTACTTTTAAGAAGCACCGTGGTAAAAATCATAAAATTAAAGTTTAACCCAAATCAGTAACGCTTAAAAGCATGTAAATTACCTATATTTACTCGTCTTTAATAAACCGAAGAAGATATTCTATGCGAACGAAGTCGCGGACACAGCTAGTTTATAAATATTTCAGTAAACAGATGTTGCCCCTTTGACATAAAAGAGTTAATTATGTATCCAAGAATATCAACATTAGTCTCTCCGCGCTACAGAAATAGCTCCCTCGGGAATCAGTTGTCTGTTTTACTTTTTTCTTATTTTGTAAAAGCAATTCCTGATGCGGGGCGCCTTTACAGTTTTAATTACGAATTCTTTTTGATGACAGTTTAAGAATTTTCAAACGTTTTATTATATCAACAGAAATTACGTGTAAGGGGAGTAAACGGGCTTTTATTTCAATATGCCAACCTAACCCATACTGAGTGCTCTTCTTTTTTATTCAAAAATTAAAGTCCACTGATAAATATGGGCCTCTCCTGTCGAAAGGAATATTTGTCTTAGTAGACGCTTAATAGAGAGTTAGACCATCTAGTGCTTATGAAACTGATAGTTTATAATATTACTAGCTGGTAGAACTCCTTTTGGCCTGGGAATATATATAGAATAATATAATACATAATTCATAGAACGGCAGAGTGTGCAGAGCCCGTGTAGCCACTAAAATGTCACTAATATGTAAATTCACATATATAAATTTCAACACGAGATGTGTTTTAACGTTACAATCGTTTCCAAATTTCGCATGCAAATTATTTAGAAAATGCCAAATTGCACACTATTTACAAATAAACATATATATTAGAATTCAAACGATTCTTTTAATGATGATCTTTAATATTAATCAAAAGTCTAAAATGGTATGTAAATTTACTCAGTCTGTCAACACAGCGCATCGGGTTTGTAGTAGTGATAAAAGGAAAAAATTGCTTTTATATGTGCTCCCGGCGACGCCGATCCTCGTACAAAATAAGGTTGACAGCCATTCTATTGTGTATTATAGTATTATGGGAATATATCTAGTATTTAGATTATAGAGGAGTATTTCTGCTACTAAGTCATAGAATGTGCACTTTTGTGTCCCTGTTCGATAAAAAGGGGTATAGAGAGCTAGGATAGTCACAGGTTTTGAGGCTTTTCTTAGTCCTCATAGATGAAAAATCCCACGGGCTGTAACCACGTATCATCAGGTGGACTTTAAGTTGTTTTGTGTTTCTAATTTTATAAAAAATTATTCTTTGCCCAAATTTCACATTATAGTGGTAGGAAACAACGTAATCAATGCAAAGCCCAAATATACAATAGTAATATATATATATATATATATATATATATATATATATATATATATATATATATATATAATAAGTTACAGTCTATATACGTTCCACTGCTGGGTACAGGCCTCCCCTCATTTCTGAGAGGGTTTTTAGGGTAAGGAAATGTCCGCCACGCTGCCCCAATGCGTGTTGGCGAACTTCACATGTCTTCGAAATATTTTTGTCTTATTCCTCAGACATGCAGGTTTCCTCACGATGTTTTCCTTCACCGCCGAGCACGTGGTATATTAGCACTTAAAATTGCAATTAACAATTTCATTCGTGCCGGCGGGGATCGAACCCAGGTTACTCGCATTGTGTTATATTTACAGCGAGCGTTTTTTTTCTCTGGCATAATAGTGTCCCTCAGACCGAGACCTTTTGGTCACGGTGGACAGGATTATACTGCTAAGTGTTTAGTGCTCATGGTTCGATGGGACGGTTATTCGACACATTAGGCGCATAACCCACGGCTTTACGTGCTTTTGGAAGCACGGGGTAAAATATCGCAGGGCCTCATTATGATCAGCAACCGCTTTTACCATCACTAGACCCATGTTGTATTATGGTCATGCCAGATATTATGTGCATTTGACGCTGCCTCTGGACGCTGCCGCTGCATCTGGTAAAATACCGTATGGTTATACTACTTTCTATCAAAAGCCAAAAGACCTTTTAAGCATTTCCTTAAGTCACCTCTAACGACGTCCGAGTTATGAGATGGCTTAATTTGCATCTTTTTAACCAGAGTCCTTTCGAACAATAGTAACGAATTTTATTATTTCAAGATTTATCCTTCCCTTGTGGTGTAACCGGGTAGCGTTGGTTCAAGAAAACATTTTCAATACTTTAAACGTCGTACATTGCATGGTATCGATGTGACCCTCTCCAATTTTAGGAAGTCTTTTTGTACCGTTATTTTTTATGTGAATTGGCGATAGTAATACCATTAAATACGTTTTCTTTTTTTTTTCAGGTGACGCTACTCTAGGAAGATCTATGTAACAAAGAAATCTAGTTGATTGATTATTGAAGTAAAATTATCGCACACAATTCGAAACATTTTGTTGAAATGGAATAATAATAACTTAGGATATCGGATAACTATTGAAAAACTAAGCAGAACAAATCAAATGTAAATTGTTTTGTTTTTGAAGTAACGAAGACGGTCAGTGTTGATGTTTTACAATTTAAAGCAAGTTTTTCAAAAACTATCTAAAAATGAGAAGAGTTAAAGGAATGAAGTACAGTGTTCAAAGTAACGCCATGTTTCAGAAGATATTCTTCGTTCTTTTACTCTGGAAAGCTGATAACTTCGTCGGAACAGCACGAGGTAATATTTCTTTTCCATATACCTAACAGTTTTCTATAATGCGTCATTGTTATTATAAAACCATACTTGAATATAGGAAATTTAACAGATTATAAATTTGAAAAGAGTTATCTATTTTAAATTTCTAAACTTACCAACACAGAAAAATAATTTTTTGTTTCATAAGTACATTAAACCATATTATTATTGTAACATTCTGTAATTTAGTACACAAATTGTGTTAAGTATTGGATTAGACAGATAAATCGAAGGAATAAGAGAAATGGAAATCGGGTGAAAAATTAGCAATTTTTAGTAATATTTGTGTGTGTGAAAATGTTATTAGTCAATAAAATTAATTATTAAGTAGTAGCTCGCGAAAAGTTAACTCTGAATTAGTAGTTTACTACAAACGTTAGTTAATTTTGTAATAAAAACGGTTTGTCGGGAACTATGGAAATATTTATCGAGCTGCCTGACTAAATAATTATTGCATAGGATATTTATTTAAACTGCACGATAATATTTTGTACTGCTACTGAGAACCTAAATAAAATAAAGCACACTCTTTATAAACATTTTTAAATAATTTTTGACATATTCTCTAAAAGTGTCAGAAATATTATAATACGATCTTTCATTCTAAAGTTCATATCTAGTATATACTCAGTAATCTATGGTTCATATAATTTCGTCTGCTCTTATGAATTCCTACCACCATGTTCCACTCATCAAATGCCACGCGATTGTTACTAGAAAATGTTTTAGGAATTAATATTTTATTAAATTCATAGCTAAGAAGGGTTAACAGTACTCCATACAATAGTCTGAATTATTATTGTAAGAAAGCGATTGAAGGATTGAAGGTTGTTTGTTGTTTATAAGGAAAACTCCCTCTAACCTTACTCCGCTCAGGTATCACCGGCTTAATTTGCGTTGGTAAACGACTCTTTGTCCCCCTCCGCGATGTCAACCCGCGGCCTCTCTTCGTCCTTCTTGAATGCTGACTCAGGCTAAAACATGGAGACCGCAACGCGTGTAACGCACAAGCCCCAAGACGAAGGCTTCACACTCGCCCAGGTCAAAAGCGCAAGAGCGCAACCCAAAACAAGGCAGCCGAAACTAACTCCCTCCTCCCGTCCCCCACCGCCACTCTGGCTAAAATCCAGCACCCACGGCACGTGCTCAACCCACAAGCCCACGGCTAAAACCTCAGCAAAAGGGTCCTTTGCTGAACGTAGGGAAAAATCACTGCCAGCCATATTCATTCAAGACAAAACCAAGTGGAACAATCTGCAAATTGGTTGAACTCTATTGTCAGCTTCTTCTTCTTCCTGCTGGTTCTTCTCATGACAGAGGTATATTTTGAACTAGTGAAAAAGTAAACATAACAAAGACTTTCAATAAATATCTTTTGCAATATGTATTGTATAAAACAGGTTCTATTTCCATTTCTATAGTACTCGTAATAAATAATCTATGTTAAATAGAATGCATGCGTTTACTACATTTTAAAATGATTTTTTTCTATTTTAAAATGTAGAAGAAACATGCAGCGGCTGTATTATGAGAGTAGTAGGTACGTAGGACTCTCAATGAGTTTTGAGATATACAAAAAGTACTAGTATACTAGTAATATTTATTTTACATCTTTTCAAAATATTCTCCATCATGCTCTATACAAAGTTTTTGCCTAAACCAACTCTGAAAACACTTTTGCCAGTCTTGATCTGACAGGTCGGAAATCGCTTCCTTGTAGGCAGTCACGGCTTTTTCGTTACTTGAAAAAAAAACTTCCCTTTCATTTATTTTTTGACTCTTGGGAACAAAAAGAAATCAAAAAGAGCTAAGTCAGGGCTGTAGGGTGGATAACTGAGAGTTTCAGTACCAGATTCCTCGATAAATGCTTTTGTTCTAAGGGAGGTATGTGAAGAGGCGTTATCGTAATGCAACATGGTTCCCCGAAGCCCGGTCTTGATCTTTTCTCCCGCACAGCTTGAAAAGCTCTGGGTAATGCAACTGTACCATTCAGAGTTAAATAACCTACAATTTTCCAGCATTGAAATCAACAAATGTCCGCTCCACGAAAAAAAATAGCCATCATTTTTTTGCCGACGTTGCGAGGTCTTTGCAGTTTTATCGGTAACTGTCCTTCCGAGTAGACCCATATCGACGATTGCCTTTTATTTTTCAAATCATATTGATTGATCCACGTCTCGCATCAGTAACGATTTCTGAAACATGTCTAGATGCCCCGTTTTAAAAACGTAGATGCATTTTAATGGCACCAATCCACACGAGTCTGTTTTTCGCTTTCGAAGAGCAAATGAGGGACCCATCGACAACAAAGCTTTTTCACTCCATGATGTTGATGTAGGATGGTATGAATGCTCCCCGAACCTACAATCTTTTCGATGTCCGTATATGTGATTCGTGGGTCTTCTCGCACAAACCTTTCAGTAGCCCATACATTTTCTGCCGTTACTGCTGTTTGCGGGGCCCCGGTTCTTTGATCAACTTTAAGGTTATTTTTACCCCTTTTGTATTCAGCAAACCACCTAAAAATTATTGCACGTGATGGAGCTAAGTTACCTAAAGCTGATTGTAACCGTTGTAACTTTATTGTTCGGTTAAAACAAATTTAAAATTATAATTGATCATAGCGCGCAAATGTCCATGTTTAAGAGTTTTAAAAGAAAAGCGCGGAAAGCATTGCAGGAAAATTAATAGAACTTTTTTTTATGTCAAGCAATTGGTTTATGAAGTTCTATATTTAAATAAATTAGATTTTTAGAAACATATAACATGGATGAGTTCCACTTTTAAATTTCGATCATCTCAAAACTTATTGAGTGACCTACGTAGCAATGAATTGCCTTAATAAAGAAATAGTAATGCTCTGACGCTATACCACAGTAAAATAGCAACATAATGTTTAGAGAAACTGGGATCGCTTTGTTCTGGTGACGAGACATTTCATTAGTAATAATAAATAATAATAATAAATAATAATAATAAATAAATTTTATTTCGTTTTAGAAAGTACATGCCTTAAGAACTAGTAGATTGGAACCTACATTTAAGCAACCTTAACCTCCATTTAAGTAGTGGCAACATAATCTTTGCATGTTAAATCTCATCCAATTTTGGTCTATATGGTCTATATGAGCTACAATGTTAACTCATCATCTAGAGAGTTGGTGCTAAAATATAAGCGATTACTAAATATGTAAATTCTGCTCATGTGGCCAGTATATTGATCATTATTCTAATAGAACAATAAAGCTAAGCAAGCACATAAGAAATGTTTAATAAAGCAAAAAAAAGCAGTTTGCTAAAAAGCTGTTGGCTTTGTGTACTGTGTTGTAAGCACTACAATATAATTACGTTTAGAAATGGCGGAAACCTTTGTAGCATCATGGGCGTAATTATATTGCTAGTTTATAAATAGGAATTTTAATTTTACTTTAAATAAAGTAAAATTAAAATTCTTAATTAAGAAATGGAACTAAGTACCTACATAAAGTTTTATTATTACATCATGTGAGCATGCATAGTAAGACTATATGCTACATCATCATTATCGTTATTCACATGTCCACTACTGAACGTAGGCCACTCCTAAGAAATGCCATAAAGCACGGTTGTATTGTACGAAGGGCGTTTATGACAGCAGACGTGTGCAAAAACAAATTTTTATTTATACTGCTAGGATTCTACAATTAATACTAATGTGCATATATTGTCGTGTGGGTTACACGTCACTACAACATCTACTGACAGAAAAAAATATTTTTTATATATTATATAAACCTATAAATTATTGTCTAATATGAACATACATTTTAAGATTGCAATCGATGGAGATAGGAGTATTCTATGGGTAGGTCGGGAAGCCAGGCCTGGCAGGGTCGCCATATAATGTTGGAAGGTGTTAATGAAAAGGCAATATAAAATCGTCTTGCGCCTTAATACAAAATAAATGGCACATAAGTGCTAAAAATGTAACTGAACTTTTAATACTGTACTGTGATTGACTTTTTTTTAAGAAGTAGTAATAAAGTATTGAAAAATTAATGAATTATTTATAAATAATTTTAACTTAATCATAAGTATGTTAAATACCGGAAACTTACACAACTTTTTTAAAACTAAATTGAAAACCGACTTTAAAAATGTCTCAAATTATTAAAATGTTAAATGGAGTTTAAAATCACACATGTGCAAAGCTACCTCTTATTTTTTTCCTTTGTTCTCATCAGCTCAATTTTCATATTGTTCTGAGCAAAGCTAGCCAGAGTATAACTTCTTCTTTCCTCTTGAAATTAATTTGGTGTATGATTAAAACTACTTTTACGGATTTTATCGCGTTTATTTTTTCTTACTTTTTATTTTTATTTTTAATTCCCGACGTTTCGGGCGCTTTCCAGCACCCATGGTCACGGGGGACTGAGATGACTGACGTCCCGATGTCATTGTTAAACCCGGAGTACCTTCAGCTTTTTTAATTATTGTTTATGGTCCGATCTATGCAAAATGAACTGACTATGTCCTGAGGTCTTGCAGTGGTATGCTTGGGTTTAGTTTTAATTTTATTGATTATAGGATCCCAAGCAGGTGGTAGTACCCAGCCTCCTTCTCTATTGAAATTAGGATGTTTTTTTAATTTCAATAGCCTCACGTATCATCCTTGGTAGGAATCGGTGTTCTTTCGCGAGGATTTGTGGTCTATCAAATCTGATGTAATGGTTGGGGCCGTCTAGGATATGATCACAAACTGCAGACTTCCCGGAACGTTGATGCTTCACATCAGCTATATGTTCTTTTACGCGGGTCCTAATTGATCTTTTGGTTCGTCCTATATAAGAGAGACCACATTCACAATCAAGCTTGTACACTCCTGCATCTTGTAGAGGAATATGACACTTGACGGATGGTAGGAACTGACTAATCTTCTTCGGCGGCTTGTAGAATGTTCTAATAGAAGCTCGCTTCAAGATGTAGCCAATCTTGTCTGTGAC